TTTATTGTATCATTACATTTATAACATTACACATAGGTACATATTATAATTATTCTGAATTCACTAGTGTAGTCGCGCGTATCGGCCGTTAGGGGAAAAATTTATAAAATACTTGAAATTTGTATAGGTATAAGTGTAACAATTAACAAATATGAGGTTTTGAATTTAGACTAATTATATGTTGACTTACTATTAGAAATGTAAATAACTCAATTATTGTTTGGTGTACTATCATCACAAGCAACATTTTTATCCTGTAATTGTAGTATTATTTTATGTTTTTTTGCTTGTACTAACGTTCTCTATAGCACGGATTTTTTAATAAACTTAAATCACATCATAAAATACAGTTTAAATTTAAAATTTAAGTAAGTACTAGGTATGTATACATTTATTATATAGGCACTCTTTAGACATCCCCAGTCAATTTTTGAAGTTCTAAACATATTAGTTGTGAAGATTAATCTATCAGCCTTTGTATTTTATATTTTTTCAGCATAAAATGTATTTATTAGAATAAATCTCTAATACATACAATATAATGTATATTATATTTAAATTTATAATATTTTATGATTATTTGATATTATAATAATATATCTTATAATTACCAAAAATATCAAAAATGTGAATAATAATTAAACTGTATTATAAGAGTAACATAAATGATAATTTTAGGTATTCCAATATCCATTGCTTTGCTATGGATCGTTAATCGTTGGCTTAACAACTTATCAAATTTGAATCGTAATTATCTGTAGAACTCTAGTGTATATATTGAGTACTATACACAATTTGTTGATTAACAATTAATGCACCTGTTTAAACAGCGTCGATATTGCACAGCTTTTTGAAATAACCCTGACAACAAATGTTTTTACTGTACATACAATAGTAGGTACAACGCCTATTAGTAACAAACAAAATATGTATTAATTAAATTACAATATTTTAATGTAAATAGTATTATGGCAGTATAGCCGCAGCGGTGTTTTGGTATGGATACGCGAGTATACGCCGTATACTCGTCAGCAAATTTTAGATTTTCGTCGAATACTTAACGTAAAGTATCATTTTACGAGTATACGATTCTACAATGACTCAAAAATCAAATAAAACTTATTTTATAGTTCATAGGAAAAAAACTGTTATGATGTTTTAATGAATTATTTATCTTATTTATGAGTATCCGATAAATTTAATGTATTTTAAAATAAATTTATTAAATAATATTTTGAAAAATATAGGTATGTCATTAAAATATATAATAATATGGAGTATGGCCACTCAACCCATGGTTTTCAATCTGCATCATGCCCAGCAAATGTATTTATTGCGGTATTATGTTTTTTTTAACCATTTTTTGATGCCGTTTTGTTTATTTTTCGTAGATACGTTTTTAACGCTGAAAATGACTAGTGTGTGGCGTTATCTTAAGTGTTTATCAGTCACAAGCCTATTGAATGGCTTATTAATGTTTATTTATAGATTTGGTTATAAATTCTTGTTACTGTAATAATGGGTATAGGTTGAAGTTTATTTATTTATTTATTCACTATAAAACTGTGAATAGTAATAATACTCAAAAAAAATTTAATTTGAAATTCGTTTATTGTTTTGAATTTTGAATATTGTGATGACAAAATGTTGAAACAAAAATATGTAATATATGATAATAATAATGTTTGCCGAACGAGCGGGACATTGATACTCAACGTTATCGGTCTTTAATTTTATAGTAATACATTATAGAATTTAGAAGTTAATAGTTAAAAACAAGGTATAAGGGATTAAGTTAATTTTTAAGATTCATCATCAGAAGACCCATGGATAACTATAACTTATAATTGTATCAATGTAAAAAATGCATGTACCTATAGTATAATTTAATCCACTGTTAAAAAATAATTACATGTAATAGCACCCTGTGTGCTGAAACATTTTATAATTATAATAAATAAAAAAAGTTAATTTTTTCTAGCGTAAGGACTAGCAAAATAAATATATTCGAGCGGAGCGAGAAAAATATGTTTAGGTTGAATGTTGAATAATATACATATTTTGGTAATGCGTATGTAATCAAACGTTACAAAATCGTATTGTGGTATTTCAAGTTTACCATGCGTCCATGCTTACTATCTCATGCGAATGTGCGATAATATTAATGACCAACCAAAAATCTTATTACTTTGGTATACCCATAAATATAATTACCAATATACCAATACCATTGAGTATAAGTGAATGTCGACAGTCAACTGTGTACGTCGACATATACACCAAACATCGTAGAGGATGTTGTTAAAAGTTAAAATTGTATTTGTGTGGCCATGTACCAGTGGTTGTTGACATTTAAAATATGTGTTTGTTGTTTGGTAAATATTGACCAAACTTAAAACGTGATGTGTACGTGATGTGTAGTGTTAAGTATTTTCAATAGTAAAATATTAATAAAACGTTATCGCTCAGTCAAAATACTTCGAAATTTTTAATCTATGTTTAAGATTTTTGGTTGGTCATTAATATTATCGCACATTCGCATGAGATAGTAAGCAGGGACGCATGGTAAACTTGAAATACCACAATACGATTTTGCAACGTTTGATTACTAGACACACCTTCGTTATTATCGATAAGTATACTAAACCGCAACAGTGTGTTTAATAATGATGAATTTTCAAACGTTGAATTTGTCTTAAATTAAACTTAAAATTGGAAAATTATAAAAGATATTTTCATATAAAGTTTAGTGCACTTTTAATTGAAAAAAGATAAAATAATTGAAGATTTGAAGCGCTCTGCTGAACAACGGGACAAGCGCCAGTTTCGGCAATGTTGCGTTTTTCGGTGGAGTATCAGGACACGAGTACAATTTAATGAATATGATATCTATCGCATTGAAATTTTATTATTTTGAAATAGACTGGCTAAATTTAGGTTTAATTTTGAATGTTTCGATTCCTGGAACAACGGGACACGTGTCAATTTTTATCATGTATTTTTAACGACGTTTGTCCCGTTGTTCGTCCGAGCGCTTCAATTGTTTTTTATTTGAGCACTAACACATATTATAAATATATAAGTGAAGTTAAAAGTACTAAAAATAAGAAAATAAATTAACAGAGAAATGTTTATTTTATCAACATTAAAATGAAAAATAAAAAATTAACATACATTTGAAAATATAAATAATGATTTAAGTTGGTGCGCATATAGTTGCATTTGTGCAACGGACTTAAAAGCTGTACTTTTCAAGTTTGGAGGTTAAGTTGGAATTTTTAAATTATTTTTAACAAACTCTCTACACCCAATTTAATCAAAATCATTTATTTTTATCAAGAAAAAAATATCATGCAATTAAGGGTTAATATGAATAATAAATTGATATGAGCTATTACATATCAAAATAAAACCAATATTAGAATACCATGTACCTTTATGTATTCAGGCGTTCGCTTTCGGTATTCGTTGCCACACTTGCCACGACATGATATTACGTTATTGCTAGACGCTAATAAATAACAAAATTGAATTATTTAGAATCACACGAAGTGCCGGTTACCAATGTACGTGTAAATACGTATGTAACAGTTGATAACAGTGAGACGTTACTACATTAATGACTACAGACTAAGACGTTTATTTTGAATTTTGTGCCTTTGTCTTTTGTTATAGAATATGTTTATTTTACTTGATTTATAAATTTAACAAATCTATTCTAAAAATTAACGTGGATATTAAATCACAACGGTAGTATTAAAGTATTTATGGGTTACTTAGCTATAGTAAAATCAATCAAGGCTAAAAAATATTTGTAATTCAATTTCTAATGCTATATCTACATCTTCTTCTAATACTCAATATTCGTTTAAATTATGATGTAAAACAAGTTCAGACAATTATTAATTTTAAACGTCCCATAATATATGGTAAACAACGTAGTTAACAAAGTCTATGTTATAAAATATAAGTGTATCATTGGATTGAATATTTATATAATAATGTTATTATAGCTAATGTTCTAAAAAATGTCTCTTATTATTTAATTTTAAATAGAAATAAATTGAAAAAATTAATTTATGTACAACTGTACAAGTCATTCTTTATAACTGTGTCTGTCTTAAATGTTGATCCATGGCCTGCCTCCTACATAACGATGGCAGGAACTGATATAAATCTTTCTATTGAACCGTGTTCAATCAACTGTAAATATATTGTAATAAAAGCAGGTATAAATGTAAACAAAGTATCCGTGAAAATATATCAGGTAAAATAATAAAAGTATTTTCTGGTTTGAAAATAATTGACTATGTCATTATTTCCACTGTGCATTTTTTTTAAACATTTAATTACCAAGTGGAAACTTTTAACTTTTTGATAAAATTATATACCTACTGGGTGTGTTGTGTACTCGTACGTGCCTTAATACTCTTTGTACAAATTCTGTGAAAATGATTATGAGTGTCAGAGTGTAACATAGTTTATGCAAAAAATGGTATAATTTAAAATTTGAAAAAATAAATTATGTAGCACACGTAATAAGTATTAATATTGTTATTATTTTAACTTAATTGTGTTATTTTATCTATATTGTTTCTTTTCATCGGATGTTATTAACATTTAACATTAAATCATTCCCTTTTTTTTTTTAACGTATTTCCTGTCATTATAATAATATGATGATCCACTTAAGATTTTACAAAGTCCTTGGTTGGTAACTCAATTATGTTTTTATTTATAGTAATTATTTTTAAATCAATACAAACAAATTTTAGAATTTGTATTCTTTCATATTAAAAAATGTATTTATATGGTTTTGATTGTATAGAGTATGGACGTTATCACAGATTTCATAAAATCATTTGCAAAAAATTATATTTAGAAATTTAATATAGACCATATCACAAATAAAATATATTTAAAATTTAAATATTCATAAGTATACAAAATGTATAACTCATTGTAATAAAATATAATATTTTCGTGTTTAACATCGACAATTATATACAGAAGTAGTTATTTTATGTTTATTAATAATTCTAAAAGTTGCGTATACAATTAGAATATTTCACATAGGTAAGCATATGAAAAGCACATGCCATTTGTTCACATTGCTACAGTAAAGTTACTTATCGTTATGTATAAAAATTTTTTAAGACAGACCTAACTTAGATTCAAATTCAATTAGTATAAAACTGAATGAATTAGTAAATAATAATATTCATGTATACCTTTTATAAGTTTTTATTTAGGTTCAGGCATTTATAAAAATATGTAACTTTGATTTAATCTTACACTGTTGAAATAAAACGAATCATAAAACAAAATACGATTAAATGATTTTGTACGATATTGTATTGTACTGTATAGTAATTCAGGTATAATACGAATTTAATATTTCAATTTTTCTTTTCCTTCTTTTTGGGTATGGTTTTTTTGAATAATTTTTTGTAGATAGTTTTGAGCACGAAGTAAATTGAGTACAATACAGAAAAAATGATTAGCATGATAAAACTGATGACATCAACTAAGTAGTACTTCCACCAAGGCATTCCAACAGCCGCGGTCCTCAAGTGTTTCGCCCCTTTGTGTCTTATTACATATTCTGTCCAGTAGACAGCAGTTTCCGTTGCATTCAAGGGCCTGTCTTTGAACCGTTTTGATAGTTTCTTTGCATTTGTAGCGTAACTGAAAAAATATGTGCTTTATTATTTTATATATTTTATTAAAACTATCAACTACAATATTTGATTAAATATACAATTAACTTAGCACGATCGTATCGTTATATAATTCAATATTTTTATATTTAAACAATTGATTTTTAATAGGTGCAAAAGATTAACTTTAATATGATGATTTATTTCAATTTAAAGTACCTAATTGAATGATGTGCTCTATTAATGTTTTCTAATTAAAAATAAATTAAAATGGATAATATTACGGAAACGTGGTAAAAATAATGACATAGTTGCTGTGTTCGCAATCTCACCTGCTATTGTTAATTATTGTTGTAATAGCATTGTATAGAATATCTTTCGTCATCGTTTCATAGTCCAATATAATACCTGAACCTTTTTCTACCAATTTTAATATATTTCTAGGTTGATCGAAGAAAAACGGTATACCAATGATTGGTACGCTTGAGTGTACAGCTTCAATTACTCCTAACAGTCCACCGTGGGTCATGAACAGGCGAACTTTTGGATGACCTAAAATTAAAAATATGTATTAATTATATATATAATAAGCACTATAGATACGAGTTAATATATTAACATTTTATAGTTTGTAAAAATTATTCGAACCTATAGTAAATTGTATTATGTCTATTTTATTTTTATGTAAAACTATTAGTAAAGGGTATTAGAATCATTAATAAATAAAGTTAAAAACTCATTCGAATTTCAGAACAAAAAAAATCTATATAAAAAAAAAAAGAGTGGTATCATTTGAAAAAAGTAAGTTTGTATCTTCATAGGACTAAGACGTTCTTTAAATAATATTTAATTGCTAAGTATCTAGAAATATTATCTCTAAAGACTCTTAAGTATACTAAACAATTCGAAATATCAGAAAGAGAGTGAGTATAATTGAAGAAACACTTTGTATTAATATAAAGAGTGTATTTGATAAATTTGACATTTTCATATATGAAATTACTTTTAAATATATTGTAGTATCTTCAATATTAATTTTATTGTATCATATGTACATTGATTTATTACATACTCAAAATATCTCTTTGAGGCATCCATTTGCTTATATACACGTTATCAGGTTTATCTTGCATTTCTGCTTCATATTTCCATAAGACTCTGATGGGTAATTTTGCAAATACATCCTTAAACATTTGTAATACATTTGGTGGTAGTGTAGATATACGAATCAGAGAACCAAATGTGAAAAACATAACTCCATTCGGCGAGTCATCGATAAATTTCAATATGTCCTATTACACCAATAATAGAAATTAATAATTACAAAAGAGTTTTACATTGTTAACAATATTCAATAAATGTATAAACTTTAATACATGTTTAATGTGATATTTACGAGTATACACTATACATATGATTTTATAGTTGCACGTACTATATTATATTAACATGTGTATAATGTGTATTTTTTTATTTTTCGTATAATTAATTACTAATTAGTTATATTGTTTGAAAAACAATTAAAAATTACGAGTATTTAGTATTTACATTATAAGTTACAATATGGCATTTCTTTTTTATTATAATATTGTTCGTATTATAACGTATATTATGAATTGATAGGCAGGTGATAGATAACTAATATATTATTAATTAATTGTTTGAGCTCTTACTTACGATAGTAAGATATGGTTTTATTTTTCTAGTGAAATTAAAAAATTAAAATTGGTTTTAAAGATAGTTTTTTTTATATATGATCATGCATGTTTATAAGTAGATATATAATACAAGTATGCATGCAACAAGTCATTCTATTTTATATTAATTGTTTAAGCATTGGTTGCTAGGGCCATTATATTATGTTAATAATTTTTTTCTGGTATCCACATAATTTAATGTTATTGTACAAATTATTAGTTTTTAAGAATGTGATTTATACAGCGCTCTGATTTCAAGTATTTATATTTTTTTTTTTTTTTTTTGAGTATGAGTATACCTAGGTTCAAAATCAAATATAGTAATTTAATATACTTATTATTAGATTATTACTAATTTTATATTAAAAAAAAAACAATTAAAAATTGTTTTTATTATATTATTGAATTATCGAATTATATGATACAAAAATATTTTAATTATTAGAAGTGAACTTTATACCTATATTAGAAGTATAATGTATATTGTATTAAAAAATAGTATTCAAGACTTTTAGTGACCAAATCTATTGGTCATAAATCAAATTTAGCAGTATTTTATAGAGGCTGTTATTATACTTTCTCAGTAATTCTTTAATAGTCTAAAAATATTGATGACATTTTAGTGAGCATGGTTTTATCATTTCTTTAAATAACAATTTTTTTTTAATAGATCATTGTATATTGTACCACGGTAAACAGAGTTATGTGAATGCTTAACACCTCTGCAGCCTGCAAGAATTTATATTCTGTCAGGTTTTTTTTTTTTTAATTATTAAATTCTCAGTATCGTGTTTTATTTAAAATGAATAAATATAAATACATTTAATTTAGGGGTGTGTATTTACCTTAGGTAAGGGCTTGGGGGGTTTAACATGTATTCCACCAATTTCTATCATGTTGGGGACTAGGGGACGTGGTCCATCCAAAGAAAAGTGGCCATTGACAAACACCATGGAAGTGTTATAAACTATTTCATTGATGTGAGGTGTATCCGGTCCGAAGGTCTCTTTTAATAGTTCATTTGCTGGCCACTCGCTGTAATATTTCCACGCTAATTTGAAATATATATAATACAAAGTGTTGATCATTCGTTCTTTAAAGTTCATTTTTCCAGCTGCTCTTGTAACGATCGTTGGTATGTAAGATGGGTTATCTGGGCCACCCACACGGTCATAGCTCCAAGGTAGATGTGAGCTGGACATGATGGACAATAGGGGTGCCTTGAAATGGTATGCAAAACCAACATCACAATCAGCTCCAAATATTTCTGTGAAAACCTAAGAATAAAAATATAATAATTATTCTCGTTGCTTTAGGTTTAATTAGTAAATATATAAAGAAATAAATAATATTCATTATATAGTATTAATGATAATGTTTAAAAATAGAAAAATATTATAGAAACATCAAAATTTGAACCTTTTTGATTATATTCATAATTTCTATACATGGTGTAATTTTCAAATTATTCTGATTCTTTTTGAGCTATTTATAGGACTTAGAAATTTTTAGTTATTTTTTTTAAATGTCGATAAAAAGTTATTTGCTAAGTCAAAATTCTAAAAAGTTTAATACAAAATTCCAAATAAATTTTTTTTTATATGTATAAAAATAAAATTATTAAAAATATAGAAGTAAAATTTTGTATTATAAGCATTTGAAGGTAAAATTTTTACAAAATTCGTTAAAATTGCAAAAATTACAAACTACAATTATTTTCAAGTTAGCAATTTAAAAAAATCTTCAATTTGTTTTGCTAGAATATGAAAATTTAATAAAATGCTCCTCATAAGTAGTTATATTGAATCTAAAAATATAATGAAAGTGGTTTTTATTTATAATTATTTGAAGAAGTTCAAATTTGGACGAAATTACGTATTTTAGCGATGAATGACAATATTAATTATTTTGTTATAAATTGAAAACATTATTTTTTGGGACTTAAAGACTTTTACGTATATTACTATTAATTTTACTAAATACAATGTAATTTTCTAAATACAGTAGAACCTCGATAAGTTTAAATTAATGCCGTTCCCCAGTCCTCTCCGAAAACCTCGATTATTCGAAATAAAAACTATAGAGTACTCGAATATTCTGTGTTTCGAATATAGAAAGATAATAACGGAAAATTTTTAAAATAATTTGTCTGATAGGCTTGTGCATTCCAGATAATTTAAACTAATCACCTTTATTGTGTTCATTATCACTGTATTCAGTATTGTCAGTTGGAAATTTGTGATCGATCGGTTACACGTGTATGGTGTAGTTGATGTAACAATGCCTCGTGTTTTATAAAAATTTACTATTTATAATTAATAATTTTACCGCATTTTTTATCATAATTTTTTAGTAATTATTTAAAAATAACAATACACACTTGAATTATATGTACATAATATGTATCTGTACCCATATTAAACGATAATTAAAAACTATAATACGTGTAGGTACATACATAAATACATTTTAAAAACTCTCTAAGTCGAATTTTTTCCTAAAATCTAGAAACTCGAAAACTTATTAAGTCGAAAAAATTGCTTTTCTCTTGAATTTTGACTTATCTAGGTTCCATTGTATTTCGATTAATTTTAAGATATTATTATCTATTCACACTATGAACCTATTCAGGCACCAGATTATCACCCTTTTTTTAAAAGGTATAGTGTGTTCAGATGAAATTAGTAATTGCACTACATTATACTCTAAATTAATGTAGATTACAATGCAATAACAATGCTTTATTGTAAGTTCGTGTACTCAGTGATTTTTTTAATAACAAACACCATTGACTGGTAATAATTATTTGTTTTTTATATATAGTTTGAAGGACCTAATAGTATCTGTAGAGCTGTATATTTTTCAAACGTCTCATATGATTATCGAACTAAAAATATAATATACCTATATATATATAGATACAGGTCTTCGTCACCGTGGACGAAATACAAGTAAAAAAAAAAAAAACATTACACACTATGCAAACCGTGCGTCGTAATCGCGCCGACTTAAACCACTACGATATTTCCTGCGATATCATTGTCGTGTACCTATAACGACGACGTACGACGGCACGGCATCGGAGCGCGGAAAAGCAAACAATAATAAACACCACTGACCGCGTCGAACTCGATGCCGCTGTGCATCAACGCCTGCACCTGGGGCAGCTTATGGGCCTTCCGACAGATGCCCATCTGATGGTCGGCGATGAACCACTGGTTGGCGAACACGCTGGACAGGTATTTGAGCACCATTTCGATGCCCACCGTGTTCATCGCGGGGGGGAACGACGCCGACACGTCCACGTCCGTGTAGTTGGCCACCGGAGATTTCTGCGGGAACGACGTGATCACCGTCACGTTGTGGCCGCGCGCCGCCAGGGCCTTCATCACGCTCTCGTACACCACCCAGTGGCTGCGGCCGTTGATGGGGAACACGCCGAGGATGTTGGCTCCGTCGGCGGCGGACAGCGCGCCCAAGACGGCGGCCACCAGGAGCAGCCCGACGCACTTCATCTGCGCACGGACAATCAATGAATTAATGATAATAATATTATTAAACGTTACACGGCGTGAACGGGGCCTATAGTATAGCCGTTAGGTTCTCGACCGGTATGTCGCGACACACTGGTGTGTGCCGCGGAGTAAGTCCAAACGTGTCACGTGAAATACTAATTGGTATTAAATGACACAAAGTTTTTTAAACAATTAACGAGCAAAAAAATTTTTTTTTTTTTATATTGTATTTATAGGCGGCCTGAATGTTATTAGTGTGTCGCCATTTTCATGGTTCTATATTGTTAGGGTGTCATCGTACAATAAAGGTTGATAACCACTGGCCTATAGCATGATGACGCCGTGGCGGTTACCAAGCCGCAAGGGGTGGGCTAAGGCGCGAAAAGCGCTGGAGAGCTACGCACCTGCAATCGAGTATAACCGTCTGCTTGAGCAGTGCCTACCTATGTTTAGCGTTTTTGACGCAATATTCGTACATCAAAAAAAAAAAAAAAGTGATTACAACGTCATTTATATTAAGGTGTCATTGAGTAGGTATTATTGTACGCGGTTTTTTCTTTCCCGCATCCACTCATATTATAATAATACATTTTTACGCAAATAATAAATCACTATCGGATATCAGTCGAAATAGCATTCTGACCCCCCCCCCCCCCTTCCGGTCATTTTCTTTTGTATGATGCATATTATGCCTCCTGATTGACGGCGTTGAGAGTGTACACTATGTGGGTACGGGTCACTGCTACACCATCGCACAAACATAACAATACTGGTGTAGGTGCCTGCTGCAAAAACAGTCTTACTGTATAAGCACTTATGTAGTACGTGAGATTGTACGACCGTGCAGCTTCAAGCTAAAAATATAAGAATGACTTGTCGTGAGATAATTACACGCCGAGAAAAGTTAAATAAAATCCTAACGAAAAAAAAATGTATTCGAAACGATATACTGTGCCTATTATTAGTTCTGAGATGGACTACAACATTTTACAGAAATCTGATTAGGTATTTTTAGTAAAACGTAAACGATATATAAAATATTGTTTTAACTATATTTTAATGTTTTTATTTTTGTTAGCAAATTAACAGAATATGACCGACCATACCACTCATCCGTTTACTTAAAAAATATTTTTGCAAATAATAATCCAATTTCTTAGTATTTACCATTTAGCAACAACTAAAATATCTAATTTTCCGGTTATGTCATTTGAGCTAAAATTATAGGTACTTGTCTTATTGAGCGATTGCCGCACCGCCAAATGTCACTGACTTCCGATAAGTCCTATGGTATCGAAAAAATATTCAACATTTCATACGAAATCCGAACAATTTATATCGGCTCATTTATTCTGAATATTTATGTATTTTGTGCGAAAATAGAAACAAGATAAACGTTTGAAATAGTAACACATATTTTTATTATTAATAATGTATGAAATAAGACTAAAATTTATGTTTGGATATGAAAATTAATGTCCATTTATTACTATACTGTCTTTGAGTTATAATAGTGGACACAGTGTTATCAAAATGTGTGTTTTTGACATTCAAACATTGTGTGATTATACTTCGATTAGGCACTTTACACTAGGTATATTAAATGTATTATTATATTTATAATTTACTTATTTACGACAAAAATGTTTTCTTATTACTATTATTTAAGTCCATGACTGCATAATTAATTTAATAATATTGTATTAATTATTATTATTACATAATCAATCAAGAATGCCGAGTGGTGTAATTTTAAATATGATTTGTTTATCAAAGATTCAACTAAGAAATCGATAATTTTGACTTTATTAAACATGATTACATCACTGTTTGTAATACAAATAATACAATATACCTTTTGATATGATGTGCTTATGTATTAGAATACCTTTGTGTACTATAACAAATATTGTTTACCTAGTTATTAAATCAGTATTTCTATTTTTAAAACGATCGGTATATTATGTAATTTTTTAAACGATTTTGATTAAAATTTAAAGTGTTCAAACTACGGAATTGTTTTTATTATAATAAATGTAATTTCGAATACTATGGTACTTGTTAATAAATATAAAGCTTTCAGAAAACTAATTTAAATTGATTTACAAATATAAAATCTACTATAGTAAAGAGTTTATACATAAATTGATTTCGTTAACAAGACTCGTTAGTTCGTTATTATTAGTAGTTGGCTTGGTATAAATAACCAATCGTATTGTAGTGAAGTGTATTATTTATGAAATAATGTTGAACAATATAAAAGTAATGATATAAATTAATTTTAAAAATTAGGAACTAAGTATAAATAGGATATTTTTTTATATATATTTATAATAATAAATTTATATATTTTTTCAATAAAACATTTTTTTAATTTAAATCGATTATTATACTCGTATATTTAAAATAATTTAGATTAATTAAGATAAATTCATTATGCCAGTAAAAAAAAATCTTAAGAGTGTAAAATTATCATCACCGAACAAGACAAGTGTTTCATTTATCAGGTTCTGTCAAAAATTGTTACTTCTTTATAGATATAATATGATATGTTTGAATTATATACCTATTATACCTATATAAATATATATTATAATATAATTTATAAATGAATTATTTAAAAAAAAAAAAAAATGATAGCGTAGATAAATTTATTTTCTTTAGAAATTCAGAATGAATAAATCATATATTTTAATAGCTTTAAATTAATTTATCCCTAGGTATAAAACAGTGAAGTGTAACTAATTTTAGAATCTGAGTAGAGCAATAAATGTAGGGTATTGATTTTACAATGATGTGTGAGTTTTTTTTTTATTATTTAGTGTAAAAAAATGCTTCGATCTTCAACTTTGAGAGAGGCTTTTTATAAGTAATTAAATCTACTTCATATATTTATAGGATAAAAATTCTCAGCATTTTTAAAAATAAAAAATAAAGAAGAACAGAAATTTTAAATAAATCCGATTTATGACAAAATCTATTTTGTTTTTTTGGTATTATACAATAACGATTACCATAAATATTTGAAATTTTCTCCAAATTTTTAAATAACTATTTTTTATTTCCGATAAAATATTCAACATTTTTTAATTCTTTTTAAGCTATTTATAGACATGATCTATTTTCATTTTTTTTTTTTTAGTTTTTTTAGAAATGCCAGAAATTATTGAAAATTTCATACAAAGCTCTTTATAATTTGTTTATTTTTCAATTAAAAATGTTAAAATCCATTATTACAATATTTTTTTATAAATGTTTAAAATTCATCAACATTTTATCAATATACAAATTAATTTGTAATTGTAAATTCGAAAATTTTTTGTTTTTATACTTAAGATTTAATACTAGATTCTTTATAAGTTTTTTTAACATATATGAAATTCTACTGAGAGTCAAATTAAGTTTTTACTATTTCTCTTTAAACAATGTTTGATATTTTATAAAAAAAAATAACAAAAGATACCTATAATTTTCATCATAAAATAAAATTTTCAAAACTTTTTTGAGTTATTTTCTAGACATGATAAATTTTAAATTTTTTCTAAAAATGTCGGAAAAATATTAGCTTATTAGCTGGACCAAATTCCTTAAAAATTAATACGAAATTCCTCATAAATTATTCTTATAGTATCTGTATAAAAATATCAAAAATACATAGTCACAAATTTTTTTTATGTATTTGAAGTTAGAAGTTTTATTAAGTTTGTCAAAATTACAAAAAGTTGTGAACTTTTGTAGTAGGAAATTCATAAATACTTTTTTTTTTATATCTAAGTTTTGAAAATGTTATACAAGATTTTTTTATAAATAGTTCATTCTAGAACAACTATAAAAATGCAATTATTTTTTATAAATATTTTAAGTTAAAATTTGTACGAAATTAATTATTTAGATGATAAATAATCATGTTAATTATTTAATTATAATTTGAAAAATTATTCAGGAAACTTACAACTTAACATATATTTATAATAATTATAATTTTGCTATACACAATGACATTTTTGATTTATTTTGAAATATAATCTATTTATTTTATGTAATAAAACTATTTTTACTGTTATATAGTATTTAGTATTTACAGAAAGATGTTATTATATTTTGAATTAGATAAATTAATATAATAGCGTATAAATATGAATTAACTATAATAATTGATAATAATTAAATACTGATAATATAAAAAATATAATATTTTTGAAGAAAAATATTTAAAAATTAAATAAAAACAAATATATAAACCTAACACTATACTAAAAGTAAAAATAAGTCTAATAGTTTTATCAAAAAAATATACCTTTCATGAAATTTAATATACTTGGTGATAGGCTAACAGCCATGGCCTGACCTAAAACCAACAGATTATCGGCCTCAGAAATAGAGTATATATATAATAATATATTATATAAAAAATTTGTATTTAAAAAACAATACTAAAATACCGTTTTTGTGGCAATTTTTTCAAAATTTAGTTACGAAAGTGATAAAGGTAGATGAAAGAAGGCATTTGTACAATATTTTTTTGTCATGTATAGTATATGCATATTTATACAATCAAGTAATAAGAAGAACGGTGGTGGCCGATGACGACAAGTTTAGTGTTTTCGTTGCGGTGACATAGTATGTTCACCAAAAATAGGATATGCAATTTAATACATATTAAAATATTTTCTTAAAATTCAATGTAAGCTTAAATATTTGATGGCATTATAACTATAATATAAAAAATAAATGTTTTAATATCGAAGAACATTGGATATTATTACAAAAACTAAAGCTCTGAATATTAGTAGCATAAATATAAAAAGTTTTTCAATATCATTAAAAATACACAAATTTTAATTGTTAATATTTTTTTGACGAGAGTAGAGCAATCTTAAAATATTATGGCCTAACCTTATATAAATGTCTAGTTTCGTCTATGGCTGAAAGATAATTTCCACACAGACTGGTTTAATTCAAATTTAACACACTCATATTAGTTACTCACTCGACACCTAATGTACAGCAAAGCCGTATCCACTTGCCTATATTTTTTAGTTTTATATTCACGAAAAGAATATTTTTCTATGAGTTTCTATGTATTAAAATTGAATTTTAAACAATATCAAATTATAAATATTCAATGTTTAAATGAGTGGAATGGATACCCAGTAAAATATTGGCTCACCGCTCTTCTCATCTAAACTTAAAATATTTATAAACTAATTAACTACTCGATTAAAATTCAGTTTTTTACAATTTCGATTAGCAATCTTTAAATAATAGTTCTTAAAAGAATTATCTAATCTATAGGTAGGTACTTTGAAGTACATAATATAATAAATTAGTTATTAACATTTAATAGGTTATACAACAACTTCTTAGTGAAAATTTACTATAACTTTTTCAATTTTTATTTTTACACAGTTTATAATAATCATTATTTTCAATTTATTAAATTAAAATTCGTTTATTTTATTGTTCAAAAATATTATTTTTTGTTAACAAAACAAGTTTAACTTTTTTTTTTTAAAACCCTGCATAATGTTATATTGTTTTACTAAGACTCATAAAGATATTCTCATGCGGATAGTATAAAATTACGTTTAAATATAAAAACTTAGATTTAATATTATATATTTGATGTAAATAAATCTAATGAAATAATAGAAAAAGTGAAATAGCACATTTAAAAATTTGTATTCCAGGAGTAGGTTTATTCTTCATAAAACAAATATAGCTTTATATAAAAATGTAAGGATATAAATTAAACAATAAGCAAAAAATCAAGATGTGTATGTATTTTATCATCTCTGTTACAATTGTTTTGTAATATCAATCCGAAAATAAATTATCTATTATAAACTAACCGTATAACTAGACTTCGCCCGAGAAAAAAAAAAATCATAAAATACGACGTTATATTGGCTTATCTCTACTGTTTTAGAATACTAACAATACTGTATGTTTTGGCCGAATTTCGAGACTATGGCTTTAAACTCCACGGCAGGGCTGGATTTAGCGAGGGGCTGAGTGAGCTGCAAGGCTACGGCCCCCATAAATTTAAGTCCACACAGCAATATTTTTAATATGGAATTTATTATTATTTTTAATATTAATTTATGTATCAAGCTTTCAGTAATACATTTTATTACTAAGTAAACTAAATAAACAACATATTAAAAATATTGAATACAATTATCAAAAAATGTATCATCTTGTTTATTTATTTTAGACCTCCACAATATATTCCGCCCACGGATCACCTACTAATCTAACCTGCTCCTGCCGTGGTAATGAATGTTTCTGTAATTAGGATAAACAAACATATTATCTCAGATTGATGCACAAATGTTCATGTTTCTCGGAGGTTAAAATTTTAGATCATAGGTTAATGGAAATTCAATCAATTGATTAAATGTTATTTCTATATAATTAATGGTTTTAGTAAATTATGTTAGTTCATAGACAAATAAAAATCGGTGTACCTAGTTTTTCAAGTATTCGATTGGAATGGACAATCCACTTGTCGTGGCAAATTGAATATAATATCATTTGATATATTTTTTAAAGTTGTTCTAACTAATTTTTAAACTTTTGCGATATCTCTAAAAACAATCTCTGAAACTTTCGTCAAAACCGGTCGAGTATTTTTCAAGTCTATAAGCAAAAAACAGACGGACGTTGTCTTATGTTGTGTATTTACAGACAAACAATTAGTTAAATATTATTTTATTGTAAATAAGTAACATATTATTCGATTTTCGTGAGCTAAAACAAAATTTATGTGTGACTGTGTAAGTGTGTCCAATTTATATTAACCCATATCGGTTAGAAAACAAATCAAATAACACTCTCCATTCTGAAGAAATATGTGTGAAAAATGAAGTTCCAATTGATCTGTTTTAAGTCTATATAAGCCCTACATAGACGTATAATGTACATATATGTACATTCATTTATTTATATATATATTTATATAGGCGAATAAATTAAATAATATATTATTAATTTATAATAAAAATATAATTATATTAATTGTTTATTTTATTTATTATAAAGTATTTACGATGTACACAATTTCCCATATAAACTTTAATCGCTTTTCAAAAATCAACTAGTTAATTATATAATTTATGTAATAAAATTATTTCTATATTTCCTTAAAACAATAAAATGCAATCAAATAATAACCCTATTTGATTTAAAAAAGTACAGATATGAGTTTAATTTAAACGATATAATATAATTAGATTAATTAGAATATAAAATATCAATTAAATATTAACATTATTATTACACGAATAGGTATATAGTATTGTATATATTTTACAAAATATTTAAAAGCCACGTTAAAGTTGTACATTGAATTTAAAATGATAAGTTATACTTACGTTTTAATGGCTGTCAGTGATATAATAACTACGAGTATATGATTCTAACAACAGTGTGTCTATCAAAATTTAAAAACGCGATCTTTCGACGATTGTCGATGATGTAACGATCATAGGTTAACCTGTGTGATAAAAAAAGCACTGTTCGGTGTTGATAAGAGTGCGTTAAATAAAAAATAAATACAATTAAAAAAAAATGTATGCACAAGTATTATTCCGATAAAAAATAGCCTAGTGGCATCGAATCACGGACACACATTGATGCAACTCACGCAGCCCGTCGACGGTGTGTCGTCGCGTATTATAATTATATTATTATTACTGTTATTTTCAACCAGCGGCGAGTCGCGGGAGGTTGGTCTTGACAAGGATAACACACAGCCACACAAGTTCCCCTACCACATTACAACGTCTTATGTGGTAATAGTTTTGAATTGATGCAATTTAGTATTAGGAATAATATACCTATAATATGTTTGCCATGAGTTCCTAAAAAATAAGTGAACGCCGCAGTAATAATTAATGACCTTCACGTTGGTATTTGTAATACGTTATTATCACGATGATGATAATACAGCAGAATAGTATCAATACGAGTCGGGAGTCAGCTGCTTAGTGCGGCCTTAAAACATAATATAGGTATTAATCTGTTTCTCCCATACAATCGCATACTACTGATAGGTACAGTAAATACGACCGTAGGAATTATAATAATGTAACTAATATTTAATCACGTGCAGCACTGCCGTGGTTATTTTATAAACAGGTAATGTAGGAAGTATGAACCTATGTAACGAATATTATTTAATAATATTTTAATATATATTTATGATTTTAGGTTTAATATAATGTCAAAAGAAAATTTTTATTAGTATCATTACTAATTTTATTAGATACTAATATGTGCTCAAAATGTAAAGTGTATTCATTACCATATGTAATATTTGTTTATCATAATATTTAATGGCATTTTTTTATTTGTATTTGTAGGATTTTCGTTCATCGTGCAAGTGGACATGTACTCTATGTTATGTTATACATTTTTATATTTGTGAATAGTAAATAGTGTAAATACCCATCGGGAGAATTTAACGGAGTAATAACATGACATGTTTTATTGAATTAGAAATGAGAAGATTATGCTAAAATTCGTTCAAGACGTATCGATTTTAAGTAGATTTTCTCTGTAATAATATTTTTGATTTATTTGTTATTTAATCCTTTTTAGTGTTATTATCATTTACTTACTCCAGAAGTGTGTACAACATATTGAAAAATAATCACTTATGCTATACCTACCATAGTTACCTGTGATGTAAGACTTGGAGCGTTAACATTTATAAGTATTTAATATTTATATTATACGGTTGTATAACAATAAAAGTTTTAAGTATATTTCTAAACAATAATCTTATAATTTTCGAGTAAATAAAAAAAAAAAAAAAATGTAAACTTTAAAAATTTAGAAAAAAAAATTACAAGTAATGTCTTTGTAGTGTGGTTAATGTTGGTGCCCTTAATATTGGTATCTTGATATTTATATCATTATATTTATTACTTATAATGTCATAACTCATAAATCATGTAAATTAGATTTAATTTAAAAATATTATACAACATAAATAAAATTATTCATAGATTAGGAATTTATTGTTATAAAATATACAAAAATATTTTTAGAAGTGCTTGAGCAAGGTCTATAGGTAATTATATATCATGCTATATGTCTACGTATTATAATATTTTTCCCGTAACCGTTTAGTAGTGGTTATTGATTAGTTGTTTTGTTAAGCTTAGGTTATACCTGATCTAACGTAGATTGTTAGGTTAGGTATCAAACTTACAGAGTTGCGAACGTTTACTATTGATAGATTCTAGTTATAACTATGATTAGTATTTAGTAGGATTAGTTTAAAATATTGATTATTTATTAGTTATATAAAATTAATTTAATAGATTAATTTATATTTTTTATGCATGTTGTTATGTAAAACATTAATAATAATAAAAAAAATAACCGAGAATTACGATTTTTTTAGTATTTCATTGTGCATTATGTGACCTAAAGATGGCTAATAAGTAATAAGCTATAAATAAATCTACTTATCATTAATAAGTTGCATAACATTTTTGGACACAATAATTTTATCAACAGTATAGATAGTATAATATAGAATTCATAAAATTTTATGGCATACTAGTAAGTCACCTACAAAAAAAAAAAAAAATGTTTACATAAATGGTCAAATTTTAGTGAAGTTTAAATTAATTTTGTTTAAAATAGACTTTTCATCTATTTCGACGAGTTTAAATGTAAAATAAAATAACAATTATAATAATATGTAATGAAAAAAAAAAAAAAAATTGTAATTAACAATGTCCAAACGATTTTATTAAAATATCATTATTCGGTTTTAATTTGTTTCAAATTAAAACATTTAACAATAGAACATACAATTATTATTGTAGTATACAATGCAACGATTAATAAACTTATTAAAACTAATATGGCCAATATAAAATCTAACTGATGATACTGATACCAAAGCAAGTCATTTGATACTGAATTCATATGTTCAGTTCCATTATGTTTAATTACATACTCAGTCCAATATTTAACTATCGTTTTTGGAGACATTGGCCGATCTTTAAACATCTGATATAACTTTTGAACATTTTGTTTGTACCTATAGAAATGGAATATATTTTTTTACAATAAAAATAAATATACGTAGAATTGTATATTATAAGTTTGTTAATTTAAATCATAGATTTAAATATAAATATTATTTATCATATTATGATAAATCATAATTTATATACTTAATTAGAATTAACCTAATCATTGTACTAACAAAATTGAACATACTTTTTGTTGTTAATTATTTCTTTAGCTGCAGTTAAAACTGACTGCTTATCTATTTTTTTATAGTCTAGACTTAAACCCATTCCCAAAAATACTGCGTTCGCGATATTTCTATGTTGATCACTAAATAATGGTATGCCAAGAATAGGTACTTGATTGATGATGGCTTCATTTATACCAGATAATCCACCATGGTAAATAAATAGTTTTAATTTTGAATGTGCTATGTATATATAAAAAGTAATTACAAATAAAATTATTTATATTTTACTATATAATTATATTCGAATGTACCCATTATGTCTCTTTGGGGAAACCATTTTTTGATCATAACATTATTTGGTTGGTTTTCCATTACCTCACCATCATATTTCCATAATATCCGTTGTGGTAGTTCAGCAAATGCTTCTTGTAACGAAATTTGCATTTTTGCTGGAAGTGAATCCATTTTTACAGTGGAACCAAACGAGAAATATATTACCCCTTCTGGAGCGTCGTCAATAAATTGTTGTATGTCCTGTTTAATATTTATGATTAATATATCTAATGATAAGTAAAAGTAAAACTTTTAAATATTTACTTATTTTATAATGTTTATACTTTATGTGTACATTTTTTTAATATAAATGATTTTTCAAAATTACTTTGTTAAAAAATATAATACTTAAAATTAAATTTAATATTTATTAATAACATGCCCATCATTATTTCAGACATAAATATATGTATTCTATTCACTATGTTTCCTATTCTTCGGTTTTCATTTCATTTCTATTAGGTATGATGGATTAAAAATATTATCTGCTAACCAAGAATAAACATAAGAATAGGATGATTTTATAAATGCGGAACTTATTATCATATAAAAGAATAATTTATAAAAAAACCGTACTTTTGGCAATGGTTTGGGATCAGTCACGTGAATACCTCCGATTTCTATAAGATTAGGTATCCAAGGTCTTGGTAGATTGAAAGAGAAATGACTGTTGACGAATACTAATGATATTTTTTCCATTAACGTGTAAGAATCCGGCACATCTTTACCGAAATAATTTCTCCCAATTACTGTTGCCTTGCGATTGAACCACCAACTTTTACTAATCGAATAAAGGTAATCGTAAGTATTTAAAAATCGGTCCCAAAATGTTTTAGGACTCGCCATCGCTACATTTAGTGTGGATGTGTACGAAGTAATCAATGGATTGCCAAACTCGCCGTTTAACCTAATAAGCAGGATACATGTTTATGCATATTTATAATATATATTATAGTATAAATATGTAACATGTAAGGAAACAACTATAATTAATTTTATTATGAACATATACTAATATACCATGTCGGCATGGCAGATGATGTAACGGCGATCATCGGAACTTTCAGTTTGTAGGCTATATATGAATCACAACCTGAGCCCAGCAATAGTGTGACGAAAAGGTCATATTTTTTGGATTCGATTGCGGTCCAGAAATCTTTACGCTTATAAATAGCTTCACATGAAATGAGATGTGTTTTGATTAAATATTCCATACCATCAGCTCCAACAAGGTCCTTAAAGCGTCCCGACGCTGACCGTGTCATGTAGGAAGACGAATCTATCTTAAAAAACAATAAAATTGTACTAATTAATTAGTTGGTACTATGTTTTGTTTAGTATTGGAATTTCACACAAAACTGTAAAATAAAATTGAAGTTTATTTTGTAAACTATAGTTAACTACATTCTGTACCATTATACGAAAACAAATATAATATTATAACAACGATAATGAATTGTACACTTGAATAGTTTTATCACAAAAAAGTGCTATAAACTTACCTCAGTATAGTTTTCAATTTTTTCTTTTTTTATAAAAGGGGTTATAACAGTAATATTGTGGCCAGCAGACACGAGAACTTGTAATACAGAATCCATGACGTTCCAATGACTCTGTCCATATATCGGCATGAAAGCGAATATTTGAGCTCCATAAACAACGGTCATTAAAAGGTATACATTTAAAAAGACTTTGGCAAAATGCATTTGAAATATTTTACGATTTTACAATATAAACATACGAGTATGTGTTTATCAATAAACTATTTACTATATTATGCATACAATATATTCAGTAAAATAAAAATCTAGTCGTTTGGAGAATATTTTTAAACAAACGTAATACTCAAGATAAGAAAATGTTATTAATTAACATATTATAACGTAAGTACTATAATTTATTATTCGTATAAAATATTGAGTTATCAGAAAAGTCAACAAAGGAATATTTGTTTGAAATTATTATTAATCATTATTTTTTGTTTCTGTGAACAGTGAACACTAAAACCTAATCTAACATAACCTATATAGATACAATATATACTAATATAAAAATAGTACTTATTTTTTGCATAATTTTCTCGATTGTTATTTCATTAACTTCAGGTTTTCAAGTTGAGTA